AAAAATTATTTAGGGGTATATATGATTCTTTTATCAAAGTTCAAGGTATATTTTAATTTTTTTCATACATAAATTATTTTTTTGACTTCTTTTATTATAATTATTTGAGTTTCTTATTCTTATTTTGTTTTTTCTTTCATTCCTTAGTTTAAAGAAAAAAATTTAAACTATTTTTTTGTGTGTATTGTAATTTAATTTCGTATTCGAAGAAAAAATTTGGTCATCTATTATAAGTTTTACAAGAATATTGGTGAAACATAAATAAATTTGATTATCAAAATAATAATTATAAATTAATCATTAAAACAAAAAAAAGTCAAAAAAATATGTTTGACAAGGATTAAATTTACTCATATGAGATTTTATTTTTTAGAAAAAAATAATAAAAATTTAGATTAAAATTATTATTATTTTTTCATTGCCGTTAGAGGAAAAGGGTATATGTGGGCCATTTGTTTACAAGTAGGGGTATATATGAGCTACTTTTATAACGAGGGGTATATCAGCTCTAAATGACAAAGTTGAGGGGTATATCAGACCCTTTTCCCATAAGGACCATTAATTATTATTTTTAGTTCTCAAATTGTATTTTGTGTTCTTAGTGATTATTATACATATTATTATTGCATGGCTACTTAAGTTGGGAATCAATCAACTATTTACCTGTGCTTATAGTGTATATTTGGGATCATGAGGTATGATATAGATTGCTATACTGTAGTGACATAATATAATTAGCAATAATTATATACTGGCATTAGACACATAATATAATAGTTCTTTGGTCTTAATTTATGCTATTTTTATCTGATTGGACATTAAATTCAAGAAAGGAAGAACTTATTTTCTAAGATATAGTTTAATTAAATTAAAATAAATCTGGTATATATAGCTTATTTTGTCAAGCTTCTAGAAGGTCAATAATTACATTTCTCAACAACAAGATTACACATAAAAAAGAAAATCTAGATAATTAGAACTACAATTTATAGAATTTTTTTTTCTATAAATCGCTGCTTATGCAGCGATATAAAAAAAATCACATTTTGTAAAATCGCTGCAGAGGCAATGATTTTACTTTTTTCGGTGGGGGTAAGTCGCTGTTGGTGCAGCGATTTTACCGTTTTGGTTAATAGAAAATTTTATATACCGTTTTGAAATTTTTGTTAATATTTTGTACCCTTTAGGCTCCGGACTCCCATTTGCCACCTAGGTGCTCAGCTTTAATCTTTATACATTATTTCTTAATTTTTATATAAGTATATATAATTTGATACGATATTAATAGGTGTTTAAGCATTCGATATGTGAATTCGTTCTTAACTATAACACATACTAAAAATTGAGAAGATCACTTAATTTTCATAAAATGTCCAAAACGTGTCTAAAAAATAGTGAGGCTTCACTACTGCTTCTTCCATTCCCTACCAGGGTTCCGTAAAAGTTCTGCTAAAATCTATATCATCAAAATATTTTATTGGCCAACACACATAAAAAAAATAGAAAAATCGCCTAATTTTAATAAATCGTCTCCTAAATAACCAAAATATGTCAAAAAACGATAAGGCTTCTATGTACTGCTTCTCTAACTCCCTCCGAACTTAATGCCCAAAATATTCTACCACATACCTTACAACAGGCTAACAGTTAATTCTAAAATTGTTTATTCAATTGAAGGACTGTTGATTTATATTGTTGGACTAATTTTTTTAAAGTCTTGGTTTTTATTATGATTTTTCGTTTTGTAATTAAAACAAGGAACTAGACGAGGAGGTTTTTATATTTTTTTCGAAAAATCCGCCTTGAGGTGATTGGGGGGGTTTGCGGAATAGTAAAATATGGGAAAATTAGATTAATCGAAATTTCTTGTTCATAATAATTTAATTATTATTTTTTATTTAGAGTCTGTGCTCATTTTGAAGTTCGATTAAATTCAAATCCATGCTAAAAAGTTTCATAAAATTAATTCTCAAATTCAAACAGATTCAAGCTATAGAAATTAATGATATTCGACTAATTTTTATCTGTACACACCTCGAATAATTTCACTACATACTATTTGTACTTCTATTTTTAGTGAAATTTAAACATGAGACTGAGAATTCTCATTTCATTTTATAAACCCTTAGATTTTAGTGATATAAAACAGCCAAATGACATAATTTTTTTAATTTTTAACAACAAACAAAGTCAACCAGGCACACTGTCAGCCAAATAAGACTGATAATAATTAATTATATTTATATATATTTAGATATCGAATCCCCTTCAAGTACTTTGTGTGTCTATTTCTTCAGATTTTGCATCTCTTTATTGAGAGTTCTGGTTCCGCCTCTAAATTCAGAGGTCACGAATTTGCAAAGCAATTTTTTTTAATAGAATTTACTTCTCTTTTACAGGACCCTCCATGACATGAATTTAAATTAATTGGATAAATTATTAGTTCTAGATAATGATTAATCAAATTAAAAAAAGATATCATATATGTATTAAATGTGTTTTATAAAAATAAATAAAGAACACATGATCAACAAAGGAAGCTATATATGTAATAAGTCAAATTAGTACAACATTAAAAAAATTTTACTCCATAGAAATCTTTCAAAGTAGCAACATGCCTTTTGTACCTATAAAAAAGAAGCTCTTCTTTAATTCCACTAAAAACATTATCTTATACCAAAAAAAAAAATAAAAAAAATGAAGGCTTTCACTAAACTAAACCTTTATTTCAATGAACTTATCACCACTTTCTTTTATTCATGGTTACCTAATTTATTAAAATTCATCATGTTAGCAACTTTTGCTTACTTGAATTCATATAGACAAAGACAACTAGAGAGAAATAAGTACAAGGATAATATAGATGAGAAGAGCTCTAAATTTGTTTGTAGAAGAATAAGATGTTTAATTAGAGATGAAGAATCACTTGAATGCGCGATATGTTTATCAGAATTCAAGTATGGAGATAAAGGGAGAAAGCTTAACAATTGTAATCATATGTTCCATGAAAAATGTTTGGAGAAATGGTTAATGCATGAGAAAGGGCAATCAACATGTCCACTTTGTAGAAATGTTGTTATATCTGAAAATGTGTTTGAGAAACACATGAAAGTTGAAGATGAAAGAAGTAGGAATAATGCATTTGAGGAAGAATTGGCTATGTTGTTGTTATCTACGTTGAAAGATAGTTGTTTTTGTCATCAGCGAATGTAGAATTTTTATTGAGTGATTCACATTATTTATTATGTATACGTATTAGAACAAATGTATCTAATATATAATGTAAATATTTGACTAATTAGATGATTTAAATGAACCCTTAATTGTTAAGTTATTAAGATTAATTGGGTTAAATTGGACGGGTCAAAATCCAATTCGTTTTTAGCCCATTTGAGCTCAAAGTAAACTTGGATGGGTTAAGACTCAACCCGATTTTTATTCCCACTTTCCGTCACACTCATCTAAATTTTCCATGTTAAGTTTTATCAACATGCAAATTGCAATACCTGCCACCAAATATATTTAGCTCATTTAAAAGTTGTTTAAAGTGAATAAAGTAAGTTTTATTGTCAAAATCAAGGCTGATTTGATGAATTTATCATATATTTATGATTGAATTTGATAAAATTAATCCATAAAATCATAACTACTCCAAATTTGAATTGATTATTGACCCACATATTTATGAAATACTTGCGTAAAATATGAGTCCATAAACTTTATTTACCATCTATTTAGTCCAACTTATACAATTTTTTTTTTATAATTAACTTATATTTAACATATTGAATATATCATAATAGATAATAATTTACAGGTAAATTATAATTTTTTTGAGTCACAATGTATATTCAATATTTTTTTAATATATAATCCGGATATATTTTCAATGATTTTGAGATGTAAATTATTGGCCATATGAAATTGGATCGAGTCAGGTCATATAATATACTTAATCGGATAAGTTAATTTATAGTTAGCTTTTTTGATTATATCATGATACATAGCTAATGTAATATATAGCTCATGAATAAATAAATTATATTTTTTGAATATACCATGATATATAAAATATGTTTTCTAAGTATGTCATAATGTATATTTAGTATATATTCTACGTATATTATGTAAATCATTGGCCAGAGATAATCGGACCGAGTCGGGTCGAATTTGCCGCCTTCTTCTAGGCCCCAAAGCATTTCGAATCTTTTCCTACGCCAATGGCGACGGTGACGAAAGTGAACCTGAAGGCGGAGACCGGCGGCTGTCACCGCCTTGAGGCGGAGCAGAGAGAAGCTCCGGCGGAAATACGATTCTAGAACAAAAAGAGTAGTTGAATTAGGAAATGGAAGCGAAGTAATATACTTACCTAGGTTCCTAAATTACCATGGAATCGTCCAATGATTCGCGTCTTCGGTCGATCTTGTGTCCAGGTACTCATTTTTCTTCTGCCTTTCTCCTTCAATTTTACTCTGTTTGTGTGCATCCTGTAATATTTTAAGAGGCAAAATGGAGACTAAAGTCTTATGCTTTACTACAGTATTGCTAAGGTACAAGGAAAGGCAGAGGTAGGTTGAAAAAGTATAAAGAGAGGTGATTAAGTAGGACTTAGCACATGTGCAACTTACCGAGTACATGACGCTATATAGGAGGTTTATGGAGTCGAGGATTGGAGTAGATTAGTCGTAGTCTAGGTATTGTTATTAGGGAACTTTCACATATAGCCACTTAAAAATAGCCCAATTACTTTCCATAACTATAATTTGATAATTATAATTTGTAGCTACGAAGAGAGATGAGCGAGACTAAGGGAGAGAGGATAGAGCTAGAGAAGGCGAAAAGAGTGGGAGAAAAGTGAATTGTATATGTATATCGGCTAGATAATTGTATATCATACATATGTATTTGTATATATGGAAAGCGAGCTTAAGAGGGAGGAGAGAGGCAAGCGAGCTTGGGAGAGGGTGGAGAGAGGCAAGAGAGATTGGGAGAGGGAGGAGAAAGGCGAGCGAAAGCAGGGTTATGAAAGGCGCTCGCCTCGTCGCCAAAGGCGAGAGGCGAGGCGAGGCGAGGGTGGTTCGCCATTCTCTGGCGAGGCGAGGCGAGGAGAAAAAGGCGAGCCCCTGGCGATATATGGCGCTGAAATGGCGAGCGAAAGGCGCCGCCTTTTTGATTAAAATTTTTTTGACTAAATAATATTAGTCAAAATTAGGGTTTTTTTTTACTTTTGAAAATTTCTGAAATCCTCCACATCGCGACTCTCTCTCTCTCTCTCTCGATCGATTGACTCTTCTCTTCTCCTCCATCGCGTCGCTGCTCCCTCGCTGTCGCGTCTCGCTCCCTCGCTGTCGCATCTCTGCTCCCTCGCCGACGACCTCGCGACTCTCACTCTCTGTTCTCAGGTTTTCAGGTAATGTTTTCTCACTTCTTCTTCTGTTCTTATTTTTTCTGTTCTTCTTCTTCTTCTGTTCTTATTTTTTCTGTTCTTCTTCTTCATTTTTTTTATTTTGGTAAGCAGCAGTCAGGCAGTGCTTACTGCTTACTGCTTTGTGTAAGTGTAACAAGTGTTAATTTTTTTTTTAAAATTCTTTTCCTAATTATTTATTCCAATATTTCTAAACAGCGAATTAATTGAATTTAATAATCAATGGCGGATGCTAGCAAAAAGAGGGACATTGGATGGAATTATGGCACTCAAGGAGCGACGAAAGATTCGGTCACTTGTAACTTTTGTGGGAGTACTTTCAATGGTGGAATAACTCGACACAAACAACATTTAGTGGGTGGTTTCAAAAATGTTAAACAATGTGTCGCTTGTCCGTCGGAAATTAGGGAAGAAATAAGGGCTTATATGCAAAACAAAATAGCTAATAATCCCAAATTTCAAATGAGGCAACCGGAAGAATTTGTTGATATTGATGATCTTGATGAAATGGATGATTATGCGAAAATGAGGCCTCCCTCCAAAACTCAAAAGATATCTTCTAGTGGAGGTTCATCCACCGCACAGAGTGTGACGAAAGGACCTTTGAACCTCTATTTTTCACAAAAATCAACACAAAAAGGAGCTTAAAAAAAGGAGGAGGAATCGAAGAAACAAAGAAAATTCTAAGAGAGTGTGCGGTAAGTGCTTTTGCAATTTGGATGTATGATGCCGGGCTCCCTTTTAATTGCGTCAATCACAAATCATTCGATAAATTTATTGAGGCGGTTGGACAACATAGCTCCGGAATGAAGCCTCCTACATTCCATGAAGTTAGAGTCACTCACCTTAAAAAAGAGGTGGATAAAGTAGAAAAAATTGTTGAGGAGCATAAAGTGCAATGGACAAAGTTTGGTTGTTCCATTATGATGGACAAATGGACGGCACAAAATGGCAAAATGATCATCAATATTTTGGTGAATTCTCCAATCGGTAGTGTATTTCTTGGTTCGGTTGATGCTAGCAATGAATCTACCGATTCCATCAAAATGTACAAGTTATTTGAAAGCACTATCGAAAGAATTGGACCGGAAAATGTGGTACAAATTGTCACCGATAATGCTAGTGAGAATATCAAAGCGGGAAGTATGATGATGGGTGCGTATCCACACATTTATTGGACTCCATGTGCCGCTCATTGCATCAACTTGATATTTGGTGACATATTCAAGGTTAAGCCATATGCTTCCGGTAATCAACCTATCCTTTAACTTTCTTAAGTTTCTTTATAGTCAATACTCAATAATTCATTAGCTACTAATTAATTTAATTTAATCTTTCTATAACAGTTTTTAAGAAGGCCATCAAAATCCATTCTTACATTAGTCAAAGGCCATTGTTGTTAAACTTGATGAGAAAATTCACCAAAGAAAGAAATTTGGTGAAACCGGCCAAGACAAGATTTGCAACGGCATTCTTAACTTTGAGAGCTATGTACATTCAAAGAAAAAACTTGAAAACTTTAGTCCTCTCAACCGAATGGAATTCAAGTAAATTTGCAAAGGAAACTTCAGGGAAAGAAGTTGCCAATCTTCTTATTTCTATCCACTTTTGGAATGATGTTGTTCGGGCACTTACAGTTTGTAGCCCTTTGACAAAAGTGTTTCGTTTGGTGGATGGGGAGAAAAAACCACCAATGGGTTATATTAATGAGGCAATGGATAGAGCCAAAGAAGCTATTGCACATGGTTTTCGTGGAGTTCAGAAGCATTATGAGAAAGTGTTTCAAATTATTGATGCAAGGTGGTCAGAACAACTCCATCGGCCTTTGCATGCTGCAGGCCATGTTTTGAACCCAGGATTATATTATAAAGCTGAAGAAGAGGGAACTTTATTACAGAGTTTGTGGACCGAGTATTACGCATGTGTTGAGAAGTTGGTCCGTGATACAACAATACAAGATGCACTAATCGCTGAGCTTCCTAAGTACAAAATGGCGGATGGACTATTTGGTTGTGGTCCGACTAAAAGAGCTAGAGACACAAGGTCACCGGGTAAGTGGGTTGATTTAGATCTTACTTAAATTATTTGACTTACTTATAGTCACTAACCTTTAAATTTATTTTATTATAGTTGAATGGTGGTCACTATTTGGTAGTGAAACACCAAACTTGCAAAAGTTTGCCATGAAGCCTAACTTGTAGCTCATCTGGATGTGAGCGAAATTGGAGTGTGTTTGAACACGTAAGTAAAAATTTATATCCTATTTTTCATATTATATTATTATCAATATCAACTAGTTAATATCAATAACTTATGCACAGATTCATTCCAAAAAGAGGAATAGGCTTACACTATCGCGTCTCAATGATCTAGTGTATATTAAGTACAATAGAACATTGAAACGTCGTTATGATGCTCGTGATCTTATTGATCCAATTCGCTTGGATAACATAGATGATTCCAATGAACGGTTAGTTGGATGCCCCGAAGATCAAGATGATGAACTAGTATATGAGGATGATGATCTTACTTGGGGTAGTGTTGCTACGACAATTGGAGCGGACGAGAGTATCTATCATCTTAGGGGACTTTCTTCAAGATCAACAGTACTTGACAAGGGCAAAGGAGTAGAAAGTACATCTACAAGTTCATCTTCAAGTAGGACTCGGACACTAATTGATGAAGAATACGAGGAGGAAGAAGATGAAAA